TTCAGGGTTTACAAAGCTGGACCCACTTTCCTCTTGTCTCCTATCCCCAGTGCCCAGAGGGCACCGGGGACAGGAGACTAGAGGCCAGTGGGTCCAGCATTCTAAGCCTTGAAACCTGAGACCGGGCGCCGGGCGGCTTTCAGCTTCCAAAGCTGCGAGTGAGGGGAGGCGGGAAAGCTGAAAGCTGCTCTGCAACCAGTCTCAGGTTTGGGCTTTCAAGGCTTAGAAAGCTGGACCCACTGGCCTCTTGTCTTCTGTCCCCGGTTCCCAGAGGGCACCGGGGACAGGAGACACCAGTGGGTGCACCTTTCTAAGTTCTGAAGGCCGAAAGCCGATCTGCCCGAAAGCCGTTCCGCACCCGTTGCCGGCTTTCGGGGCTTAGAAAGGTGCACCCACTGGCCTCTTGTCTCCTGTCCCCAGTGCCCTCTGCCTCCTGTCCCCGCAGGAATGTGAGGCAGAGGACAGTGGGGATAGAAAGCAGAGGGCAGCAGGTGCAGCTTTGGAAGCCCCGGATTTTTTTCTCCGGCCAGTTACGGATTAATGGGTTTTCAATACATTCCTATGGGAAATGGATCCTCGACTTACGGAATTTTCGACCTGCGGCCACAGTTCCAATACGGATTAATTCCGTAAGTCAAGGATCCACTGTATATCCATGATACACAGAGGAGCTTCTGGCTATGAAGCAGTTGGGGAGACAGCTTGAGTGCAGATGGAGGAAACATCATGACTATGACCAAACACAGCTTAGAGCCCATTATCGGGCCTACTCTGTGGCGATACAACTGGTGAAACATCAGCATTTATCCAGTCATATTACTTCCTCGGAGTGTCATCCAGCAGAGCTATTTCGAGTTGTCTGGGACCTTCTTCAGCCTAGTGGTTTGGCAGAGGTACCAGATTGCTGAGTGGCTTGCTGTAACAAATTTGTTACACAGTTTTGCAGATTCGCAAAGAGTTGGACTCCACTGCTGATGCAGAGCCTGAATGAGTTTCAGTTGTTACAACCCGAGGATGAGGACAGGATGCTTGGATTGATTCATGCCACCACTACGCAACTTGACCATTGCCCATCATGGTTAATAAAGGAATCTGCCGGGGGGGGGGTCGCACCTGGATCCTGGAGATCATCAACTCCTTGTTAATGGAGAGAGTGGTCCCTGCCCCGTTAAAGGAGGCAGTGACTCGGCCACTCCTAAAAAAGCCTAAACTGGACCCAGGTCCAGTGATCAGCTATCGACCAGTGGCAAACCTCCCTTTTCTGGGCAAAGTGTTGGAATGTGTGGTGGATGAGCAGCTCCAGGCTCTCCTGAATGAAACGATTATCTAGATCCACTTCAATCAAATTTCAGACCAGGTTATGAGATGGAGACTGCTTTGGTCACCCTGATTGATGACCTTTGCTGGGAGAGAGACAGGAGGAATCTCCTGGATCTCTCAGCGGATTTCAACACCTTTGTCCATGGGGTCCTTCTGGACAGATTGGCTGGGATGGGAATGGGAGGCACCGTTTTACAGTGGTTCCACTCCTACCTGGCTGATAGGTCCAGAAGGTGGTGCTGATGGACAGTAGCTCTGATCCATGGCAGTTCCTCAGGGTTCTCTACTGTCTCCCATGTTATTTAATATCTACATGAAACCACTTGGGAGGTTTGGGCTGACAACACCCAGCTCTACCTCTCATTCTCTACCAATGTGGCAGTTACCATTTTGAACTTGTGTGTGGCAGTTACCATTTTGAACTTGTGCCTGGACTTGATAATGGACTGGATGAGGGTCAATAAACTGAGGCTCAATCCAGACAAGTTGGAAGTGCTGCTGGTAGGTACTTCACCAGATAGGTTAAGGGGCCAATTCCCTGTCCTAGACGGAATTACACTTCAGCTAAAGGTCAGGGTCCACAGCTTGGGGGTGCTCCTTGACCCGGATCTGACCTTGGAAGCCCAGGTGGACTTGGTGTCCAAGGGTGCCTTCTTACAGGTGCAGAAAATATATCAACTTTGCCCTTATATAGATGAGCGGAACCTGGCAACAGTCACACATGCATTGGTAACAACCAGACTGGACTATTGCAATGCAATATACAGTGGTGCCTCACTTAACGAGCGCCTCGTTTAACGACAAAACAGCTTAGCGAAGAAGATTTTGCAATCGAACAAACAGTCGCATTGCAATGTTTTAAATAGGAAAAAATCACTTTGCGATGATTGGTAAGCTGTTTCGCTTACCGATTATCGCATAGCGATCTTTTTCCTACAGCTGATTGGTGGTTCCAAAATGGCCGCCGGGTAAAAAACATGGCCGCCCGCTGTTTTCTGGGATGGATTCCTCGCATACTGGACAGCAAATGGTAAGGGGTTTCAATGCATTCCTATGGGCTTTTAAAAATCGCTTAGCGATTTTTCAGTTAGCAGCGATTTTTGCTGCACCAATTAACATCACTAAGTGAGCCACCACTGTACGTGGGGCAGCCTTTGAATACGGTCCAGCGACTGCAACTGGCACAGAACCAGGCTGCATGGCTGGTAAGTGGTGCCGCCACGTGAAAACATATCACACCAATTCTGAAAAATTTATACTGCCTGCCGGTTGCTGTTCGGGCCCAATTAAAAGTGCTTACTTTGACATATAAAGTCCTAAATGGCTTAGGACCTGGTTACCTAAAGGACCGCCTTCTTCCATATGAGCCTGCCCGTACTCTAAGATCAGGCCAGGAGGCCCTTTTGAAGGTGCCATACCTGGAAGAGGTGAGGGGGATGGCATGCCAAAATTGGGCCTTCTCGGCTGTTGCCCACCAACTTTGGAATGCCCTCCCTATAGAGATCTGCCTGGCTCCAACACTTTTGGCTTTTCAGCAGTAGGCAAAGACCTTTCTGTTTAGCCAGTATTTTAATTAAGCAATATTCTTTAGCTGGCCATATGAGCAGCAGGATTTATTAATGATAAGTTAACTGTTTTAATATAGGGTATTATTATAATATTGGGAATTTTTAATGATTTTAATGTTTTTCTAAAGGTTTAATATTGTTGTACGCCACTCACAGACCATTGGTAATGGCACAGCTAAAAAATCTTGTAAATAAGTACATGAAATAAATAAATATGTTGAGCTTTTATAAATAATTGTAAGAACCACCTCAAATTGGAATGGTGGGGGATCACAAATGCAGCCTCCCTAACATTGTATTGCTACCTTGTTTTATCTACCAACAGGTGTTCAAAGGAGTACTGTTATTTAGGCTAGAAATTCTGTTGTAAATCATTCTAAATTCTGTAACTGAACTCAGTTTTTGCAAGCAGGAAATGTACTAATTCCTCCTAATCATTTCAAAGCCCAAAATTCTATTTAGATGATGGTAGTCCATGTCTGTGCAGGCTCCTGAAACCTACCTCCTTTTTCAGGGATGGGCTTTGAACTGGTATGCATAGTATGGAAAGATAGCTGTGTGAAGAATTCACATTTCAGCTTTGCAAAGACCTGGATACAAATGACATAGAAGTGTATCATCGATGTTTTAGGCAAGCTGCCTAGAGTGGTCAAAATGACCAGATAGGTGGGGTATTAATTAATTAATTAAGTGCATGTACCAGGGACATTTGAATGTTACTCTCTTGTCTTGTGAATCACCAGGGTTGGCCCTACCATATGGCAGAGCAAAGAGACCTAAACGGGAAGAGGTTACTGTTTACTGCTCCAACTCAGGCAGCAAAGTATCTTGGGCTTGGTCTATATATTGCAAGTTTAGGGAAGAGGGTACAGCAAGCATAGATGAGGGAAGTGAATCTCCATTCAAACTTGACAGAAGTTACCTTTTCCTTTCATCAATAAAACAGGTAGATTTGCTCAAACAAGAATTTCAGGTAGGTATTAGGTTAAACTCTTCAACCTGGATCTCTTCAGAAATTTTGAATCACAGTTTTCATCCTCCTCAATCACCATGACCGATGGTCAGAGATGATGCAGGTTATTTCCAAAACATTTGGCAAGGCACGGCCTGGGGAAGGTTGTACTATGACAAAATCTATTCTGGTTATGCCCTTGTTTATTAACTATTCTTGAATTTGACTAGGGAAGCAGCCCAAGAAGTAGATGGTAAACTTCAGCTCTTCAAAGAGAACCGGCGGAGAAAGAAAGAAAGGAAAGGAAAAAAGCGTCAGAAGAAAGGCGATGAATGCAGCCTTCCTGGACTCACTTGCTTTACGCACGATAACAATCACTGGCAGACTGCACCATTCTGGAACTGTGAGAGCCTCTTCTAAGACATACATACTGATGGGAGTAAGGTTTGGTGTGAACTCTTAGTCAGCTGGAGAGCATTAGTCCACATCTGGAAATAAAAAAGGCCAATCCATCCAAAATGAAGACCATTGAGCCCCATTTATTTCAATGGAAGAGATTTAAACCAAGTTTGTATCTTTTCTCCATTGAAATCAGCAGGTCTTTAAAAATGTTAATATGCTTGAAAATGACAGAAATATTTAAATGGTGGCAGTTCCATTGGCATTTTTATAATATTGTGACCTGTCTTCCAAAAAAGGATGTGTGGTGTAGTTTTTTTTGAGAGAGAAAATTGTGAGAACTGATATCACTGAACCAGAGACCTTATGCTGGGTGGCTGCAGAGGCCAGTAAGGTAACAACATAACAGTTGTCAGTATTCCTTATGTTTATAAGGGATGTCAATGTGGAGGTGCCTGGAATTTGGCTGGAGGTTTCAGGAGTTCTAATTTCAAAAATTCCCTTCCCTTCTTCTGGGAGTGCTTTGGGGCTGTGCGGCTTGCCCAAGGCCACACAGGCTACCTCATCTGGAAGACACAATGGGGAATTGAACTAGCAAACTTTGCCTCTGCATCCAGATACCTAACTCACCTCTAACTTCCCTAACTCATGGAGCTATCCAGCCAGCTTTAGACTCTGCTTAAAATCCACACAAGTGGAAGATCCATCTGGGTCACAGGTTGCCTTTTCCATCTGCTTTGTCCATCACTTCTCTTCCCATCTCATGATGGGGTACAGCACTGTGGGAACATCCCCACATCTTCCCACAGCCATGTAAGATTTGCCCTTTCTGGATTGAAGTAAACACATACTTCCTTAAATGTTTGCTTTTTGTCCCTTCTTCTCAACAGTGGGATCATATAGTGCTTGTACAAGCTCAAACAACAACACTTACTGGTGTTTGCGAGCAATCAATGAAACACACAACTTCCTCTTCTGTGAATTTGCTACAGGATTCTTGGAATATTTTGACATGAACTCTGACCCTTATCAGGTAAATAGGGGTTAAAAGTTATTTAAACACATTTTGCAAAATAAGATGTCATTGTACAGTAGGACCCCCATTATCTGCAAGGAATTGGTTCCATGATTTACCATGGATGTCCGAAACCGCAGATACAAAGGAACCCTAATACACCATACAAAGAGGTGGGACAAATACCAAAGCAAAGCAAGCAAAGTGTGCTGCTTATATACCGCCCCATAGTGCTTCAAGCATTCTCTGGGCAGTTTAAAAGTTAATTATGCAGGCTACACATCCCCCCCCCAGCAAGCTGGCTACTCATTTTACCTACCTTGGAAGGATAGAAGGCTGAGTCAACCTTAAGCCAGCTACCTGGGATAGAACCCCACACACAACCCGTCCCCCTGTTTGTTCTTCTACACACCCAGGTTCCCTTTCAGGCATGACACGTACTTTTTACCCTTTTTCGCTGCCACCAGAGGATATGTTCCTCTCTGTACCAAATATGACTATTAGATCAGTGTTGTCCAATATAACAATGTTTATTTATGGGTTTATAGATAAATCATATAAAGAAAATCATGGATGGTATTTTATTATTCATTCAGTAAACGTTGTTTTGATTAATTTTTATATTTGCTTATGTAGATTCACTTTAATCAAGGTATTTCTATATTCAACTATTTATTTCTTAGCACTTTTAACTCTTTCCAATCTTAACCACATAACTTTCCAAGACTTCTATTCTTATCTCTTTCTCTATCTCCGTATTACTCTTCTTTCTAAAACAACCACAGCCCTAACTGCCTAAAAACTATCATTAACTGTCTTTCTTTCTCCTTTTATTTCCCTGGTTCCGCCCCTTCTGTCATGTCATAGGCTCCCATATCATAGCTCTGACCTGACTGACAGGAGTGTTCTGAGAGCTCTCCGTCCCAGGCACATTCCAAAATAAGTGGTGGTAGCTAGACTCAGGGAGCTATTCCCTCTTCTACAAAACTTGTCCTAGCCTCCTGAAACTAACTGTATGACTCTGGTATTTTGGAGGGCATTGTCCTATTGTCAGCAATGAAGTAACATTAAATTGTATTTGTGGAGACTTTCACGGCTGGGATCTAACGGTTGTTGTGGGTTTTTCGGGTTCTTTGGCTGTGTTCTGAAAGTTGTTCTTACCAATGTTTCGCCAGTCTCTGTGGCCAGCATCTTCAGGGGACAGCACTGTGTGCTCTGGTGTAGTTTGCTAGTACCACCAGCTTCTGTACATGGAATGAGCAGAAGCTGCTATTGCCTTGTCTGTTGTCATCTTGATTTGGGTTAGCCCTCCCAGCAATGGTGCTGCTGCATTGTTCCTTCTGACAAAGTATCAAAACTAAGGTCTGCTTCTTAGGTGTCTTTTTTTATGATGCCCACATTCAAAAGGCATATTGCCTGGCATCAGGTATGTCCACATAAATCCCAGCTATTTCTTTCCAAAAAGACACATGTAGCAGCTGTAAATGGGCAGTTTGAAAGGGGAATGTTGGGTGAGGTTGCTAGAGAATGTGGTTTGGTTTGCATTTTTAAGCAGACTCACCTCTTTTTCACTTTCTGGACAAATACACAGGTTGAACAGCAATCTATTCTTTAGATTGTAATGTTGCCATGCTGTTTCCTACTCAAGAGGTAGATACGGAAATGTGCATGTTAAGGAACACTGCATAGAAAAATGCACAGAATAAGGAAGGATATGTACAAAATTAGAGAAATTTATGGAATTACATGCAAAATGTTGTGCATGGATTAAAATAATCACAGAACAATGACCAGACAGACTTTTGAGTCCATGTGATATGAGCTCCACAGCACAGTGGTTAAACTACAGTATTGCAGTCAATATTGAAGTTCCATCTCAAGGTTGACTCAGGCTTCCACCCTTCTCAGGTTGGTAAGATGGGTACCCAGCTTGCTGGGGGGCAAAGTGTTATTTGCTTAATTGTGTTGTCAACTGCCCAGAGAGTGCTTTAGCACTATGGGGCAGTATATAAATCAAAACAACAATAACATGTAAACCCAGAATGGATATAGACTGCTAATGTGACTGCACTGGCTAACATGACTATTGTAGCTTGACTTAAATGTAAATGTGTAGGCATCACTGGCCTGCACCCTTTGTACATTAAAACTCTTACAGAAGTTGGAATCCTACACATAAGGATTGCAAATAGTTGGCACTCTCATTTCTCAGAAACCCCCGCTAGTAGGGCCAATGGATTGTCAGGAAACTTAAGTCTAAAATCTCTGGATTACAAAATGTAGCCCAAAACTTCTGAAAAACCAAAGGTTCACTACCCTTTCTTGTACAGACATTATTTGGTGTAAGCCCTATTATACTCAAGACATACTTCTGAATAGCCATGTATAAGAGTGATCCTAAATCATCTTTTTCTTTCCCTTCTCAGCTAACAAATACAGTACACACAGTAGAAAGAGGCATTTTGAACCAGCTGCACATACAGCTCATGGAGCTACGAAGTTGCCAAGGTTATAAGCAGTGTAATCCAAGACCTAAGGGGACTGACACAGGTAACTATATGTGATTACAAAATTCTTAATGCTGACCCAAACTAGCTAAACTCACAAAGACTGGCTGAGTGAAAGACTGGCTGTCAAAAAATAATGCTTCTAAGCCTAATTACAGCATGTGGTGCTTGGCACATATATTTTAAGCTTGGCCTGCAAGAATTTTGAAGCTAACAAATATATGACACTTTACAATATACTCATGTTAATTAATACCTAAGATCAGAAGAACTGCAAAAAAGGTAGAAAAAGTAGACAGAGTTGAATGTATAATTTACCATACCTTCTACCTTTTTTGTACATATATATAATCTTTTGTTTTTGTCAGGGCTAATCACTAGGGCATAGTCTGCCATTTTTTCTCCATATAAGGTATCAGCTTGGGAAATATGAAGTAGATATTGAGTTTGAATAATGTAAAGCTCTTTCCCACACCAGTGAGTAACTCAAGTTGTTCCCCAAAAGACATTTGGGAATTGAGATAAGAGCATGAACCTTTCACTTAGGCTTGGGTCAGATTCTTCTTTTCACTTTAAAAACGAACATGTTCTTAGGAGAGGATAGGCTGTGACATCCTAATGCTGTGTGTATTGTTCATTTTATGTCTTCCCTATTGCTGTTCAAAGTATCAGTGTACACTGATTTTGCAGCCTTCTTTTGACCAAGTGCTCCTTTCAGACTCAAGAAAGGTCTTCGGACGCCATCTTCTTTTTTTCTGTTTTGAGCAATCGGACAAATGGGAATTTGCCCTTGTGTTGAACTGACAAAGGGTCATCAAATCCCACTGGACATTGTACCTCTGAGTATGTGTAGTTTTCCTGTTCACCTCCAAAGGAGGCAATATTTTAATCTTCTGTAATCATGAGCATGTTTAATGTTTTGAAATCATGATATTTGTTCCTGAGAAATGCTTCTCTTAAATTTTGTGGAGTTTTGGTTTATTCCTACCAATAAGTATTTCCCTTTTCTTATTACTTATAACTTTTTCCCCCTGTTATAAAATATTTTAAAACACTCCCTACCAGGTACCTTTATTGGACTGCTGCTTTATTTATAACACAGTAAATTTCTTTTTAGGAATTAGATGCTGTGCATGGAAAACTACATTGTGAATGATTTTTCCCAAATTTAAACACTAACAAAGGTTACTCTTGTATTTTCCTATATCAGGAAATAAAGATGGAGGAAGCTATGATCCACACAGGTATCCACACTTTATTATTCTCCTCAGCAGCTTCTTTCCAAATAATTGCATGACCTGGTCCATTTTGACTAATGTCTGTATCCTGCCTGTTGCACATGGCATTGCTTTTGCTGCATGCAAGTGCTAACGATTTTCTTCACCTAGCCATTGGTGTTTATGTTCACCACTTCCATTTAACTTTGCTCCCATTGGCACTTCATGTGGCTCATGTTACATAAGTCCTTCTTTAGGAAATTCACTCATCATCCTTGCGTTGAGCTAGAGACATGGGAGGGAAGGCACAGCTCTGGAAAGATATGCTGTGCAATTGGACAGTAACATCACTAATAATTTCCCAAACTATTCATCCACTGGCTTCCAGTCACTGACCTCCCACATCTGCAGCCTGGGTGACAAATATGTGGCCCTCCGTGTGTTACTGTATTACAAGTCCCATCAACCCTGATGATTGTTCATGCTGGCAGCAGTTGGTGGTGGTTCAAATACAGCATCAGCAGGGCCACAGACTTCCCCACTTTTCATCTTCAGGTTTACTGTTTGTATGACAGGAGTCAACACTTGTACAGTGGTCTCTGAATCTCAACACAACTGGGCACCCTATGGTGTGCCTTTATGTAGGGGCAGTTGTGTGTATGTAGGCACAGAGCTTGGAAGTAAAGAGCTAAACATATAACATGTTACTTTTGGAGGGTAATGAGAGTAGCAATTGTGCTATCATTGCAGAGTCACCTAATGACCTATGACTCTTGATATGGTAGGAAGTTACATGTTTGAAATGTTATTTAAGTGGATTTTGGGACCACTTTTCTGTTTTGTAATATTTTTGTTATTTAAAAAAAGTGAAAAATAACATTAATAATGTGCTACTGATGTTACTCTTAAAATAATGAGCAACACATTACTTTTAAAAAATAAATTCCAAGCTCTGTGTAGGCCTTTCTTGGACTAACACCAAAGTATATAAGGGTATAGCAGATGGGATCCCATTAATTCTTTTTACATTTAGTATATGAAGGAACATGTTTGAACTTTTGTCATATTCCTTTGTCTTCATCATTATACTAATTATTGCTTATAAAGATGAAAGGATCTTTTGGCTGAATAATGGTTTTCTGAATCCTTTCCAGTATTTTGAGTTACTGAGCAGATATTAAAACAACACCTTTTTATAGGCTTTGTCATCCAATCTGATTGCTGTGAAAATGTAATCATAATTGACCTCCACATATTGTACATTGTATAATTGTTGACTTTAACTCCCATAGAAACGGATGTTTTACAAAAGTGCAATTATATAGGTACCAACTTGTATTTTACCAGATTGCCCTCTATCAGAACATTCAGGTCTTGCAGCTTTTGAAAAAAATGAATGTTATAACCTTGTTATATATTTATCTGCTGTTTTTGCAACCACTAAATAGTATGTGGTCTGAGATCACATGATATATGGCATTTTTAAGCTAATTTGCATGTATTTGATCAGTACTTGAATGGGGCATATATGGAAAATACTTGAGTGAATTTTAAGGAAAGAGAAACCATATAAATCTGCTGTTTGCAAAACTTCAGTTAAAAAGGTGTATTTATTTATTTATTTATTTTATACCCTGCCTATCTGGCCCACCAGACCACTCTAGGCGGCCTCGGACCACTCTAGGTGTATCTAACTAAATTATATGCAGTTGTTTACCTTCTGCACTTGTGGGGGATGATCCACTTGTACATAGACATAGGCTGGAGTCCCATTGCTTAGCATAGTAAGTTGAAACTTGAGTAAGTCCACTGAATCAAGGAAACTTACAGAGCAGTTGACTCACCAAATCCCTCCTGATTCAATTGGCCTACTTGAGTTGCAACTCAGTCTCCTATGCTAAGCAACAGGATTTTAGCCATTATACCAAATTGTAGTGCTTGTAGACACTTGTCAGAGAGAGAGAAAGGGAAAAGATCATCAATAAGGAGGGTAAGGAGAGGATAGGCTGTGATATCCTAATGCTGTGTGTGTTGTTCATTTTATGTCTTCCCTATTGCTGTTCAAAGTATCAGTGTACACTGATTTTGCAGCCTTCTTTTGACCAAGTGCTCCTTTCAGACTCAAGAAAGGTCTTTGGCCGCCATCTTCTTCTTCTTCTTCTTTCTGTTTTGAGCAATAGGACAAATGGGAATTTGCCCTTGTGCTGGACAAAGGGTCATCAAATCCCACTGGAAATTGTACCTCTGAGTCTGTGTAGTTTTCCTGTTCACCTCCAAAAGAGGCAATATTTTAATCTTCTATAATCATGAGCATGTTTATGTTATCCAGTTTATGTTATCTTTCCTCCCCCAGAATATTTCCAATTAATTTCTCTTGCCTTTCCCATTCTCCACTCTCCCAAATAATAGTAATAATAATAATAATCTTGTGCCATCAAGTCAGTTCTGAGTTATGGCAACCCTTTCCAGAATTTTCTAGGTAGAGAGTAGATAGAAGTGGTTTACCATTCCCTTTTTCTGGGGGCATCCAGGAACTGTGGAGCTTACCCAAGATCACACAGGCTATCTCTTTTGTCAAGAGGCAAACTCCCAACCTCTGTCTCTGCAGCCAGATACTTAAACCACTAAGTGGCCCAACCAACTCCTCTCTCAAATAGTCATGTGTCATTTTAGGGCCACCAAACATTTATTGGGCTGTGTGTTAGTGCTGCTGGTGACTCTTCCCTCTTTTTTGGTGTTTTCTTCTCCTATCTACACCTTGCAAGTTTTGCCTTTCCTTAAACAGACTGGATCTCCCTCTTGTTCCTCAGCAGCCTATTTTGGTTACATGAATATAACCCAGCACTCCAGTTCATTTCTATTTAATTTATATATAAATGCTTGTCTGTCTCTGTGTTTATACCTACCTGTATTTTATATTCTTTTATGTTTATTTGTTAATCTATTAAAATATAAACTATTCTTAATCCTTACAGATGTTTTCTGTTTTAGCACCCATTCTTTTGGATATTATGCTTCTGCAACCTTTCTCATGATGAACAATTATAGATAATTCAGCATCTGCCATATTTAGACAAGGATGTATGAGGGAGGATCTTATTCATAGCCACAATGTCATCCTAACTCTTTAACTTTGTTGTTTACAATTTAAAAAATGAAGACTCATCTTGCACCTTTGAAGGAACAATGTTTTTTGACACAAGCTTTTGTTGACAAGTAGCAATGTGCATTTCTGATTTGGGGGCAGGGGGGAGACTACAAATTCTGTAATTCTTTTTCTGAGCTGGAAGGCTTCATGCCTTAGATAGGCTGAAACAAGGCTCTGCCGTAGGCAGGGGGAAAGTGGCGCCGGGCAGAACCGAATGAGGCAGCCTCTGCTCCCCTGAGGGTCATAAGTTCAAGGCTGGGGAGTTTGGGAGTTGGAGCCCCCAAAAGGGACTTTGAACACACACAGTCTGGGTGCTCACCTTCCCATTGATGCGCTCGGGTGTTGCTTGCTCCTGCCTGTCTCAGCAGGCGGCGCTCTGCTTGTGCTGCCTTTCTGTGCTCCAAGTGGGCTGAGCAGGCATGGCATATTGCCAAGCAGCTGCGGCGATGGCGGGTGGGGGCGAGGGCTGCACTCCAGTGCCGGCAGCAGGTAATGGGGAGCGGAGAGGCGGGGAAAGACCTCCATCCAAAATAATGACATATACAAAAGCCTGTAATTTTAAAAGTTTTTATCTTTGCCTGCCTGACGGAGAACATTAGGCTAAAAAGGAGGACGTGGCCTCCTTTTGCCAGACATCTGGCAACCCTAACTTGAGAAGAAGCTGCTTCCTACGGTTGCTGGGAAGCTTCATTTTCAAACAGGAAGTTAGGCCTGTCCAAAACATGACACCTTCTAGCTGGGCCTTTTCTCTTGATGAGCACAATTTAGGTGTTTGTAAGATCTGGGTCTAGGACTCCTAGAAAAAATTATGGGGTCTGTAGTCCAAAACATCTGAAATACATATTCCTGTTGACTACAGCCCATTTCATCAGTTGCATCCAATAAAGTGGACTGTGATCCATTAAAACTAATGCCAAATAAAATCACTTAACCTTTAAGTGCCCATAAGACTCTGTTTATGCAGCAGCAGACTAACTTGGCTACTACCCTGGAAATGTTTTTAATTATTTTCCTGGACTCTAATAGGCAAAACAATTGCTCTATACACCTACTTATTTTACCATTGAGTGTATTATTTGTTTATTTCCACATAGGTCCAAGGCTTGGCTAAAGTGTTCACATATGTGCCTTTTTTTATCTATGGGTTCTCTCTCTCAATGTGGGTCTCTGCTCAGCTTTGTCTAAAAGAACACATTTTTTCCATAACAAATCAATGTACTAATAAGAAAAAAGTACATAAAGTGTTCAACTCACTCTCAGCTATTGAACTGAGAGAGAGCAGTTTAGAAAATAATTTGACCCTAAAGGCTGCTAACTACCTTTTCTATTCTTGTTTTTTGACAGAGGACAGTTATGGCATGGATGGGAAGGCTAAGCTGCCAAATTTCACGGAAAATGTCAACTGGCAAGGACTGGAAGATTTATACAGTGTGAATGAAAGTTTATACGAAGCCAGAAAAGACTACAGACTTAATCTTGATGACTGGGCAAATTACTTGAAGGATGTAGATAGAATCTTTGCACTGCTGAACAGTTACTCTGAGCAAAACAGAACAGCAAAGACTCCAACTGCTCATCCCAGTGCATACTTGGAGGGATCATCCACACCATTTGCCTTGCTGGAAATGAGCTCTGCTGAATCCGACGAAGGTTCCAGCTGGCTGACAGCTCAAGAGGTACAGCCGATCATGCCAACAGATTTGGGATCCCTGGCTTTGAGCACAGTTGAAATAAGCCAGGAAAGCAAACTTGAATTAAGCAATGACATTCCTGCAAAAAGGAATCCAAATTTGCCACACTGGAGTAGTCACCAAGCAGAAAGATGGCTGGAGACTGAAGAACCAGTTAGTATTGAAAGGGATTTCAGTGGGAATGATCTGACAGAGCTGGAATCCAGACATAGCTTCACCTTACAGCCTGCCAGTGTTCTTCAGAAAGATTCTGTCCCAGATAAAGATGCTGTGGAAGACATTTTTGAAGAGCAGATCTACCTTCCTCTGAACTCAGCAACAAAAGTCATTCATCAAGCTTTGAATACACTCATTGTGGAGCATAAAACAGAGAGGGTGTTAAGAAAAAGGGAACACTTTCCAGAATCTTCACAGCTTCTAAGTGTAGAAGGTAGTGCCTCATTACCACTCTCCTCAAATTAGCTTGTCTGAGTCAGCCACACCCTGTTTCCTTCCTTAGTAATTAGTTGACAAATACATGTACCCCTGGCAACTGACATTCCAATATTTTTTTAAAAAATTCTGTACCAGAATGAAACCTGCAGTATGTGTTCAACATACACATAAATAAATGTCATGATGTAGTTTCAGGACTACAAGAGTCCCAGAGTTAAAAAGAAAAAGCAGTGGAATCAATGTGCAGTGATACCCCTATTTTTCCTTGTTATTATAAAGGCACCTTCAAATGAATTTCAAGTAACCTTTTCCTCTCTGATTCCTATAATGACTCACCACCACAAATGAATGTTTCTGTCTTTCTAAGATCTTTGAATAATAAATTTTTATTAACAACTTTAACCACTGTTAAATTTTACTCATATTGCCAGAGTAAAATTATATTGCACTTTTATAATCTGTGTGCCATACCCTTTATTAATCTGGTACTTCTACACGTTCTTAGCTTTGATAATGATGTGTAATTTGCAAAACAGTAAATGGGTTGGTAGTGAAAGTGCTAAGTGGCATGGATTAGGAAAACTAATTAGCTGAACGTTGAACAGAAGATCATGTTTGATTTTTAAACCTGTATGCTCAAATTGGTTTATGTTAATTCCCCCCCCCCCAAGAAAGATAGCACTAATGAAAGATTTAATAGGAGTTAAATTGACTTCAGATTTCAATGTATGAGGAGAGGTATAAAGTAATTAAAGTGTTACTTTTTATTTTTATTAAAGGAAGTTTAATTTTGAGTAGTTATAGCCTTGGTGTCTTCAGAAATTTCTCAGATGATTTTTAAACTAAAAAAATAGACTCAAATCCAAAGAGCAGTTATATACATACAGAAATGTGCCTACATAGTGTTCTAGCCTGAAATATGTACAGACATATGAAGCCTATCATTTTGTAAAGAAGAGTGCACTGTTGAGGCACCCACATTTTTCTACACAATGCACCTTACCTCTATGGTACCATATAAAATGTTGGATTATAGTCATGCATTTTAATGCAGGCTCTTCTTATGCAGACAGAATCTCCTAAATGCAGATGGGGTATATGCATCAGATGGTGTTCCCCTTTGCTTTAATATAAGAAACAAGTATATATCCATCAGAACTTGACAGAATACTGAAGAGACCTAGAATAGAAAAGCTAAATTGGAAAACAAAGTGTGACAATATAAAATCTAGGTTTCAAAGATACAGTACTACAAACTATTCACAATAGTACAATGCATTCAAAAGTTCTCTGCTATACTTTTTAAAATGATTTTTAAAAAAACACATACCCTCAACAATGATATGCTCTTGAATTACTATTATTCAGCTATCTGGTTTATAGGAAAGTAATCTCTTATGTGTGTTAACAAATAATTTGTTTAAAGGCCATTTAAATTTAGCGGTTCAGCATTCTGTGGTCTTTGAAATAATTTTCAAGAATATCTTATGATGGTCTTTGTAAACTTCTTGGAATCAACTAGGTGTTTATCATGTATATGTCATGAACTGAATGACAGAAAAGTTTATTTATGGGCATGAATGATGCTGTGTGTATATAGATTTTACATTATTAGTCTATAAAATGTGTTCATGTAAAAAATATTCTGCAATACTTATATAGAACAATTCTGACTTCAGGGAAGTCTAGAAGCAATATTTCTTAAATAAAAGAGTTCCTGTATCTGTTTCATATAAATCTGCCAGCTATATGACAGTATATGATAAATGAAGTTGAAGCATCACATTTTAATAATTAAAAACATCAAACAAACAGTAGCAATACAGGCTGGAGAGGAAATAAGTAGGCTGGCGTACATTCCAGCAACATGTTTTGAAAAAGGTTCCCCTTGACATTTTTAGTACAGTCGTGTCCGACTCTAGGGGGCGGTGCTCATATCGTTTTCAAGCCGTAGAGCCAGCGCTTGTCTGAAGACAGTTTCCGTTGTCACGTGACCAGCGTGACTAGGGAACACTGTTTTACCTTCCCACTGAGGTGGTACCTATTTATCTGCTCGCATTTACATGCTTTCGAACTGCTAGGTTGGCGAGGAGCTGAGAGAAAGCAACGGGAGCTCACTCCGTCGCATGGATTCGATCTTCCGACTGCTGGTCTTCTGACCCTGCAGCACAGGCTTCTGCGGTTTAGCCCGCAGCGCCATCACGTCCCTTGAAAATGGGAGAGCTTTGGATCTGATCGCTCCAAAACTGTCTACAGTGGACTTTTGAACATCCCCTTTCTGATGCTACCATTGGAAAATAATATGAAGGGAAGGTTTCTGTATCTACAATAAAACTTGTAAATATTGTTGCTGAGCAGAAAAAAAATCTCTTCCTCCTAAAGCAGGGGTCAGGGAACTTTTTTACCTCCCCCACAAAAAAATGTATATAAGCCAACATTACCCCCTTGATTTGAAAGGAAGGAAATGATACAGTATTTGGATCCAAAATTTTATTGAATCTATTCAAAATTACTGTGAAAGCGTCAATTTACTTGAAAACTTCAGGTTTTGGAGAAATGATGTTGCTTCATCTTGGATACAAGAGCATCAATACTGGGGCATTTTGATGTCAGAGCAATATGGATACAGTCTTCAGGGTCCAATCAATTTCTCTGCTTTGTTTTTATGTTTGTAAGTATGGAAAATCCCTGTTCACAAAGGTAGGTTGTTGCAAAAGGCAGCAAATTTTTTACTGCCTTCTCATGTGCAATTTTGAATGCCTTTGCAGCTGTTGACATCCAAAAATTTGACAGATCTGCTTGGTTTTCAAATGCAATACAATACGTGCTTTGTTATTGCATCGAAGCTCAAGAATTGACTCTGCCAAATCTTGAGGCTCTTCTGGTACAACAGCAAAAGGTGCTACACTCAATATGCCAGCAAGTTTGGAAAACTCAGCAGTGGCTAGAGGACTGGAAAAGATCAGTATACATCCCAATTTCAAAGAATGGCAGTGCCAAAGAATGCTCCAACTACCGTACAATTGCACTCATTTCACACACTAGCAAGATTATGCTCAAAATCCTCCATGGTAGGCTTCAGCAGGATGTGGACCGAGAACTCCCAGAAGTACAAGCTGGATTTCGAAGGGGCAGAGGAACTAGAGACCAAATTGCTAACACACACTGGATTATGGAGAAAGCCAGAGTGTTCCATAAAAACATCTACTTCTGCCTCATGGCGCAGTGGTGAAACCGCTGTACTGCAGTCAAAACTGTGCTTACAACCTGGGGTTCAATCCCAGGTAGCCGGCTCAAGGTTGACTCAGCCTTCTATCCTTCCGAGGTCGGTAAAATGAGTACCCAGCTCGCGGGGGGGGGGAATGTGTAGCCTGCATAATTAACTTGTAAACTAAACCGCCCAGAGAGTGCTTGAAGTGCTATGGGGCAGTATATAAGCAAGATGCTTTGCTTTTTGCTTAATTGACTACGCAAAAGCATGGCAGAAAGTGAGGAGGAATTAAAGA